TGGTCGTCGACCTCGACGACGAGATTCCTCGATTTCCGTCCTCAGCCACCAAGGATGGACAGTGCACACTGGTTCCTGAGCTCTTCGAGAAGTATCGAGGGAAGGAGCACAGCATGGCTGAGGGAGTGAAGGTGGTCGAGGCTTTAACGTTAAAGGTACGTCGGGACATATACTTTAATAAAACTATTCAACCTCATTCTAATGTTGACACGTGATGTTTCGTATGAAGGCCTTGACCGTAGCCCGAGCATTGTCTTCGAGAGGGGAGGAGGAAGCCAAAAAGGTTAGTGGGCTCGAGGATGAGCTCGAACGACGAGTTCAGCAGATATTGGAGCTCGAGGCTGAGGGTGCTTGTCGCGCGAAGGAGAATGCCGAGCTGAAAGCGGCACTGAGGCAAGCTCGAGATGAAGTCGGGGTGTCGAGGGATGAGGCCGAGGAGGCCAAAAACGAGCTCGAACGGAAAACTAAGGAGTTCGAGGTTATACTCGAGGAGTCCAAGGCACGGGCAGTCGAGGAATTCAAGAGGTCAGAGGAGTTTGGGGCGATGAAGGATGAATATGCTCTGGGATCGTACAATTACGCTTTCAAGCAGGCTCGAGCCTACATTCGCGCCAATTTCCCGAGGTTGGAGCCGGCGACTTAACTTCATCCCCCCAAAATTTCGAAGGGCTCGAGCTGTCGTCGTCGGAGGGTACAATGATCGAGGAAGAGGACGGGGCTGACGACGAAGTAGAGATCTTGATGCCCCCGACGATTGGTGGCCAAGACTAGGCCCTGCCTTCCCCGAACACTGAGGAGTTTTTTTTTTAATTTTATTTTACTGCTCGCTATGTACAGCCCGGAGATGGGCTCAGACAACTTCAGATTATCTTTCGTATATGCATGTTCGTTTTTTGTGTCGTTGACATGATTATGAACTCGAGCAATATAGTTTTAAATAACAATGTGGGGAACTCGAGGAGTGTTAATTTCAACCCGAACAATACAATGTTAAACAACAATGTGAGGAATTCGAGGAATGTTATCTTCAACACGAGCAATATAATTTTGAACAACAATGTGAGGAGCTC